TGAGATAAAAAAATATATACTGATACATGCTTTACATGTACACGTATTGTGCCATTTTTTAATTGTAGCATCCTGCATTGAAAGGACAGTGCATACCAATGAATGAAGAGGGAATCAGTGATTCATTGTGGAAGGTGCGTAATATAATTGCACATTTAATTCCTAATTTTCTGTCCTGCCATTCTCAGTCGGTCAATGACTACAAGCCATATAGTCTGGCTGAGCTCCCTGTCTCCATATTTGGTAATTTCTATGACAATAGGAGAGAGCAAAGACTTAGGTACCTCAATGACGTCCGAGAGAAGGTCTTAAAGAGGGCGGGGTCACATCTGACCAACGAGCTTACGCTTGAAGACGTCATTCACGAAGAAGTCATACCAAATATCACGTACGCTGGCTCTAATTATAAGCATTTCAATATAATTTCTTTAGTACTCTTGGCAAGACTTTGCTGGGTTTCTTTGCTCCTCGTCGTCCTCTGAAACCAGTGAGGACCCTCCGTAGGAAACCAAAGCCACAGAATGTACATGTTGAGTCCTGCCACATTAGAGTAAGGGTCGTGAGGGCAGTCAATGTACCCGTACGAGAAGAAGAACTAAGATATAATGAGGTAAGGGAAAATAGTGATAATAATAATTTTTTACAATGATAATAATGATAATAGTTTGTCTACTTTCATAATAATGATGATAATAATAAATCAATAACAATACTAATAGTTATTATTTATTTTTAATTTTTAAAATTGTCTCATTTATGAATTAGACTCTTGTTCAAAGTTTTGTTGAGGTGAGATTTGGAAAGGAGTCCAGCAAGACAGCCTCAGCCCATGGACCATACCCACATTGGAACGAAGAGCTGACGTTACCTTTTTGGTAGGTACTACCACATCACGTGACTATCACATGATTCATTGTAATTATATTTATAGTCCGCCTGATGATGATTTCAGTCCATTAGCGTTACAGAAAATATCACATGAATTGGAGATACATTTGTATGATGAGATTACAGTGAATATATCGATGGTGAGTGATGTCATTTGATGTCACTTGATGTCATGTGATGTGTAGGATGAAGTTCAGAGACATCAAAGATTAGAAAAGAAATGGTTGGGATCTCTTACAATTCCTTTCTCTACTCTACACGATAGAGCAAGAGTAGGTCTCCTCTTTCTATCTCCAGCATTTTATCTTC